GTCACAAATTTTAATAATTCTACTTAATGTAGTATTTAAGAAAAGTTATTCATTTTCTTGGATGAAATATTGATATCAATATTTTTCTTTTTTCTGTTTTAACATAATTAAGTTTTGGAAGTTGTGTTTAATTATTCAATCCTCTTTTCCAATACGCTGGAAATTGAACCACACCAGGATAATAGTAAAAGTCACAAATTTTAATAATTCTATTTAATGTAGTATTTAAGAAAAGTTATTCATTTTCTTGGATGAAATATTGATATCAATATTATGATAATTAACATAATAATAATAATAATAATAATAATAATAATAATAATAATAATAATAATAATAATAATAATAATAATAATAATAATAATGTTTTGGATGGAGTTGAAGTCTCGTATACAAAGCATTAGTGTTGTTATGAAGAACGAATGGATAATAATAATAATAATAATAATAATAATAATAATAATAATAATAATAATAATAATAATAATAATAATAATAATAATAATAATAATAATAATAATAATAATAATAATAATAATAATAATAATAATAATAATAATAATAATAATAATAATAATAATAATAATAATAATAATAATAATAATAATAATAATAATAATAATAATAATAATAATAATAATAATAATAATAATAATAATAATAATAATAATAATAATAATAATAATAATAATAATAATAATAATAATAATAATAATAATAATAATAATAATAATAATAATAATAATAATAATAATAATAATAATAATAATAATAATAATAATAATAATAATAATAATAATAATAATAATAATAATAATAATAATAATAATAATAATAATAATAATAATAATAATAATAATAATAATAATAATAATAATAATAATATTAATGATAATAATAATAATAATAATAATAATAATAATAATAATAATAATAATAATAATAATAATAATAATAATAATAATAATAATAATAATAATAATAATAATAATAATAATAATAATAATAATAATAATAATAATAATAATAATAATAATAATAATAATAATAATAATAATAATAATAATAATAATAATAATAATAATAATAATAATAATAATAATAATAATAATAATAATAATAATAATAATAATAATAATAATAATAATAATAATAATAATAATAATAATAATAATAATAATAATAATAATAATAATAATAATAATAATAATAATAATAATAATAATAATAATAATAATAATAATAATAATAATAATAATAATAATAATAATAATAATAATAATAATAATAATAATAATAATAATAATAATAATAATAATAATAATAATAATAATAATAATAATAATAATAATAATAATAATAATAATAATAATAATAATAATAATAATAATAATAATAATAATAATAATAATAATAATAATAATAATAATAATAATAATAATAATAATAATAATAATAATAATAATAATAATAATAATAATAATAATAATAATAATAATAATAATAATAATAATAATAATAATAATAATAATAATAATAATAATAATAATAATAATAATAATAATAATAATAATAATAATAATAATAATAATAATAATAATAATAATAATAATAATAATAATAATAATAATAATAATAATAATAATAATAATAATAATAATAATAATAATAATAATAATAATAATAATAATAATAATAATAATAATAATAATAATAATAATAATAATAATAATAATAATAATAATAATAATAATAATAATAATAATAATAATAATAATAATAATAATAATAATAATAATAATAATAATAATAATAATAATAATAATAATAATAATAATAATAATAATAATAATAATAATAATAATAATAATAATAATAATAATAATAATAATAATAATAATAATAATAATAATAATAATAATAATAATAATAATAATAATAATAATAATAATAATAATAATAATAATAATAATAATAATAATAATAATAATAATAATAATAATAATAATAATAATAATAATAATAATAATAATAATAATAATAATAATAATAATAATAATAATAATAATAATAATAATAATAATAATAATAATAATAATAATAATAATAATAATAATAATAATGTTTTGGATGGAGTTGAAGTCTCGTATACAAAGCATTAGTGTTGTTATGAAGAACGAATGGAGTCTCTAATTGTTGTGGATATATCAAAGGCATATTTACTCCCTCGTCCAAAGATATATTTACAATCATGTCTGACGTATTAATTATTAATAAATGATTTTTATCACTTTAATTAATTTTTAATTAATGATTATTATTTTATCAATTAGTTACCGTTTTTGATCGTGGGTTATTTCATTGTTATTCTTATTAATTGTTCATATTAGTTATCAATTAATTAAATTAATTATCGTTATTAACAAGTTGATCTTGTTAGATAGTCGACCTTATGGTCCTTGACTGAATGGTAATCATACAGTACAGATAATAATATACCTGATATACTGTATTATATAGATATATGGTATCAAAATATATCATGACGTAATCAAAGTATTCAAATTTGTTCAAATATATTATTTATATATGAATATTTGCATTAAAATATCTTTATGATCATTTTATGTTAAAAAATGGGTCTTCTTAGATTATATTAGTTAGAAAGTTTAATGTGTTGGATTTGTGCAATTTTTCTTTTCTAGCTTTATAAACTTGTATATTTATATATAATAAGTTGTTTTGTTAGAAATTTAATTTTATGTTTATAAATTAATTGAAAATGTAAAATTTGAAGAGCAACTATAATAATTTTCATTTAAATTCTGAAGTATTTGTAAAATAAACACAATTAGATTATTAGGGACCTAATTAAAATTATAAAAGATTGGCAAAGGATTAAATTGGATTTATTAAAAAATATTCAAGGACCATGCTGCAAATACAAAAATTAAATTAAGTACCAATTTGTAATTTTAAGATATTTTAGAAACTTGTATGTAACATGATTTTTTTTTTTCAAAAAATAAAAACTCAATTTTGTTCTTGAAAGATGTAGACTACATTTTTAAGTTAATAGGAAAATCGATTATAAGTAATAAAAAGACTAGGGGTTACATTATTCGCTTTGAAATATGGAATTCTCTCATATTTTTATTCTTTAAAAACACTTTAGAAAATTAAAAGGAAAAAGATATTTAATTTTTTTTAGTTTAATGTTAGATTATTACCTATATCGATACAAATAATACTGAGGAATCATTCTTTTTCTTTATCAACAATATAAACATGGATGATAAATAGACTTTTATATATATATTGCGAACTTGTCCCAAAAGTTGTTGCAAAATATCCAATTATCCTGTATATGTATTTATATATTTGTAGTAGACGTTTTAAATTAACTAAAAGGACAAGAATGTGTACCTATATACTTGACCGTTCCACATCTCCATATTCTTCCTTTTTTAAATAGTTGAAACACTTTATTTATTCAATCATTTGTTTGGAAACATATACAATTTGTGCTATTTTAACTAGCAAAAACACATAAACTTATACATTTGTATTCACATTTTATTACATTTAAATAATATAATTTTAAAAGTATATATATAATTTTAAAACAAAGTATTAAATAGATTTGACTTAAGAGATAATATATTATCTCTTAAATAAAAATGATAAATATTCCAAATTTAATATAAAATATAAATCCCTCAAGATAGGGGCGAACCTGCTTAGAAAACAGACGCTGAGCTACAGGCGCTTACATTTTCTAAGCACTTGATTAAATTTATTCACATTACTTTATAAACGAAAACAAATTAATATTATTTACTTTTTTCTTCTTGTCATCACCTAAAACATATTGGTTTAACAATTAATATAATATTAAAAAACATCAATTAATAATTTAAGAAAGTAATATAGTAAATAATCAATTGAAATGAATAGTTATGTTCAATACCTGTATAATTCATTATTATATTTATATTTATGGAGATTTGAGTTTTAAAACTTTCCTGAACTGTGAACTTCTCCAAAATTGATTTAAAAGACACAAGTGTTTTAAATTTCTTTACTCTTTTTTAACCTAAAAGAAACTACTACGATTTAAGAATTTGGGGATTCAATAATAAGATAAGAATTTACAGAACAATACTAAGAAAACGATTTTGGATGCATTTCATCGTCTGTAATATAAAACAATATTCAATTAACATAACATTGACAATTAATAAAAGTATTAACAACCAAATGTATGAAAATCAGTGCCACAATAGTTGAATCACAAATAATATATTACAATATTTTAAGACTAAAAAAGAGAGAAAAGTGATGCAAAAGGCATACGAAAATTTGAAATATAAAAAGGTAGATTTACAATATAACTGAAATGAATATTCATCCTTTCAACTCCTGTGTAATTCATTATTATATTTAAGTTTTAAAAACTCCTATATTTATTATAAGATTTGGGTTTTAAACCTGAACTTTAAACTTCTCAAAAAAATTGATTTAAAAGGCAGAAGTATTTTAAATTTCTTCATTCTATTGTTAACATAATACAAAGTTCTGAGATTTTTTTAGAATTTATGAATTCAAAGAGCCATTTGTCTTAATAACTTTGCTTCTCACTACAATTTACTAATATCATTTACGATATATTTCATAATTTGTAATGAAAGCATGTTCAATTAACATAATAAAATATGTGTTTATATATAGACCACTAATAGAAGTATTGACAGACAATCACTCTCGTTAACTGAGATTAGTATGACAGTAACCGTTCAATTTCATGAATAACACAAGAAATATACTATGCATCATAAAATAAACACAGAACCATTAAATATTAATTTCATTCTATGATTCTGTTTAATGAAGATTAGATACATAGGAGCTATTAAACACAGAATGACTATAAGTATACTAGAGAATAAAGTTATCATATGCTATTCATGGTTTCCATAATTCAGCATCCAAATCACATCCTACAAAACCTTTTTTGTTTTCAGCAACTCTCTTCTTATTTCTAGATTTACCTCTGTTTCAATCATCTTTGTTCTCAAAATCTTTGCTTCCATCTCTAAAATAGCAACCTCCTCCTCCAAAGAACTCACATTCTCCTCCAACCTTTTCACAACAAGAACTTTTTCAACACAAGTTTTCATACTCAAGGCAGATTGTACTTGAGGTTTCAGCCATGACAAATCAAATCCACATGTTTCAAGTTCTTCCCATAAAGTTTGGAGATGATTGCAAGCATCATCGTCCATATCTCTCACTTTGTTCGTGTTGAGAAAATAAAGAACTCTACCCAAAGCTGTAAAAGCCCATTCAGTAAATCTTTGACTTCTCTTCTTGCTATCAATAAGTAGTGAGGTAAGTGAGGGATATCTTGAACAAACTTCTTCCAATAGAGGAATAAAATCTTTCTCTACTTTTCCTATGCCCCTAAAATCCACCACCTCACCAAATGATGGGGTTAAAATCATTTCCTTGGGTGATTGATCAACCTGTTTCTCATGCTCTAACATACGAACCAATATATGAGCTTCAATTATACAAGTATCATTTACAATGAACCCGCGACTAGAATCCCAAAGTTCATCCAAAGATATGTAAGAAGGGAATCCCCAGTCATCATCCATTGAACTGAACGTGTGGCTAGTTTCTGACACATTTAAACATCAAGAGTTAGTTGTGTATAGAGGTTAAAACAAAATCATACGATCCTCAAATAAATACATATAACTTCAAGCAAATATAAATATTATTTCTATAGAGTATAAAAATAGTAGATGAGTGAAGGTGGATCCTTTTTGTTGCTTCCTTTACCCAATCTAATAGAACACACTAATATTTGATCATGTCTACTTCTCAAGTAAAATGGTTTCTACTTACAAAATTTCCACCAAACCATTTGGGATAATATGTAGTACATGCCAATAAGAGTGACAAACAAGTAAAGGTTGGATTTTGAGGTATTAAGGAAAAACTTACAGATAGAAAAAGGTAAAGGGGTCATTAGAAGCTATATGATGTGATTCTTTCAGGAATTTAAAACACGTCCAAAGGAGAGTCTTCATGTGAAATTATGAAATTGCTAGCAGGAAAACAGTTTCATTCGCCTAAGAAAATAATATCCAAATATCAACATGAGAGATAAGGATGAAATATACCTTTGATTATAGATTCATTTTGAGCTGATTATAATCAGAACGAGTTTGAAATTTGCATATTTTCCCAGTACACAGTACACAGTAACTTAATGAGAAAAACAGATAAAATAATAAAAGGAACATGTACAGTACACAGTAACTTAATCAAGCACCATGTGTGGCCATCGAGAGAAAACGTATCCGAGTACAATTTATTGGAGTCCAACATGGAAAAGATCCTAATGGTCCATGTAAAGTTCATAAACAAACCAATACTTATATCCTGATTCTCCATTTCAATGACTTGTAAGCTTCAAACGTAGCACTGACAAAAACAAATAATATTGATTTTCACTTAAGAAAATCAAACGATTGAGTATCCATGAGAAACAAACATCTTTATGGTTGAGTTCACAAAGAACTTCAATAAAATCACACTCATAAAATTCTTACAAATTTCCGTGTCAGAACCATTAAAAACGCACCCAAAACCCCTCTGAACTCAACCATAAAGATGAGCGGACGCCAGGTGTCAAGCAACGAGGATTCGAAAATCAGATAGTGGAATGCAGGTGTCAGCAGATGAGCGGACGTCCGTTTTAAGCAAAACTGAGTTTTTTTGAAAGTTACGTCACACTCTCTGCATGCACCTTCTTCTCCGAAAACCCTGATCTTTCATTTTCTCCTCCTTCTCTCTAAAAGCTCTCCCTTCTTTCTACCAAAACTCAATCTTTCTCTACTCCGATCTCCATTCAGGCACCGTAGGAGCACTTCCGGCGTCCCAAGCTTCAGTTTGAACTGATTGGTTTCGAATTCTGAACGGGTAAGTTCTTCTTGTCCTTAGCCGTTCGTTCTTGTACACATGCAAACCGAGTTCTGGTTGCATGAGTTCTTAGTTTCATTCTGAACAATTTTGGTCTGTTGTTTGATTTTGGTTCGAAGAGTCGTTGAGCGTTGAGGGTAGAAGGAATCGTAGTTCGGCGAACTGAATTTTCGGTCTGTAGGACGTTCGTTCACGCTAAGAGGTAAGGGAAGCTTATTTAATTTAATTTGTATGTTTACTGTGCTGCATGGACGTTCTTTGAGTTGCAGTGAAGCATGATTTTTGTGATATTTAACTATATGATATAGGATGATTATTATGTTCTTATGTATGAGGAATATGAAATGTGCTATGATATGAATGTATGAAAATATGAAGTTATATGTTGAGAAATGACTTTGAATGTAAATGAATTCTGAATATGAAATTTCCCTATGATAATTTGCAAAGTCGTTGCCAATGGGTTTCACCCTACCACACTCACGAGGTTAGTCTGTTACCACTCGCCTTGGGCCATACTGAAAGCACCCGAGACTAGGACCTCCTGCTACTCCTCACGACATGGATCAATCCTCTCTACTTGAGAATGAAAGACCATTGGAATTTCAGGATAACCCCCAAGACTAAGCTCCTGCATCCATTCTAAACTTACTTGAATCTCAACTAGAGATTTCACTTTGAATCACAACATAGGGCACCACCGTGTCTCCTCTCCTTGAGGATCATGGAATTACGTCCATTAACCACACTTGAACTTTACACTTTTAAATACAACATACATCAATCACCACGGATATTACATGATACAACTTCAACTTACTACATACAACACTAATTGTTCATTTAAAACAACTTAAGATCACAAGAGAAATGAACTAGAACTGAACCTCTCGCACAGCGACCTAACTCGCCTTGCGAGATCCTTAGACAGAGACCAACTCCTTTTAACTTCTTGCATAACGACTAAACTTGCTATGTGAATAAACTGTGAAATGTATCAGACCCTAACCCCTCACATAGCGTCCTAGCTCGCTATGCGAGAACCTCAGACAGAGACTCAGACTTCCTAAACACTCGTAGAGCGAGACCCACTCGTTGTTCGAATAAAAATAATAGTGGTTCCAGACCCCAACTAGTCGCATAACGATTTGATTCGTTATGCGGATTGACAAACAGAGAGCAATCCTCTCAATTCACTCGCATAGTGCACCCATCGCTATGCGAGTGCGTTGGCAGAAAGCACCTCGCCAAGGTGACTCGCTATGTGAATCCATTCGCACACGCACAGCGAGTCTGCATAATCTGCAGAACGAAATTCTGCAGAATTATGCAACTCAACCACTTCTTAACAATTCCACTCAACTTTCCCAACTTCTAACACTCCTAATTCGTTGTATATGCTTAATTAGACTTGACTAAGTGATTCTAGACCTTCCTAACATCAATATAAAGTGTTTATGCATCAAATCCTACTCTAAAACCTCAATTTCATCAACTTAGAGATCCAAATCCTAATTTACCACTTGGAACCTGATTTTAACTAGTTTGATGACTCAAACAAGTCACAAATGACCTATCTAAACTACCCCAGCAGCCTCTAACAGCACTTGACCTCTAATACTCAAATTCACTACCTCACTTCCTTTAAATTGACTCTAAACAAGCTCAAACCACTTCACTTCATACCTCATCACTACCACAACAAATTACTCACATTAACTACCTCCAACTTGCACAATTACATCACTTAGATTCATCCAAAACAATTCATCAACAACACATTACCGTTTCATAATTTCACCGTTTCAACACATTCAATTCACATTATACTAAAACTAACAATTTAGTCCTAAGCAGTAAAATACTACCACATTCAACATATATACAAGTCATAAAACAATTTAATACAGTAGCTAGCTCCCCTTACCTCAGAGATTCCAGTCTCGCTCACAAAATTACACCGACAATTGACTTGCAACGCAAGGAAACTCAACAGAAACCTACAATTCACCAATTGGTGATAGAGAACAACACTTAGAACCTAAATTGAGCTAGAAAATGGAAGGAAGAACGGTTAACCACATGCGATACAGAATCGTTGCATGCTCACAGTCCAATGAAGAACAAATAACAGTGGAAACCACTTACTAACTGAAGAACACGAAATTGATCGGTCAATACCGAAGCCCTCAACGCCAAGATCGCCTAGGCACCTCCTGATCGTCGAACAGAAAACTCAGCAGAAAGATCGTAGAGAGAAGTTAGAGAACTCCGAAGAATAGAGTTCTAGAGAGATGAAGTGTGTTCTTAGAATAATGAGAAGTGTTTATAAAATACTATTTATATTATAAGATTATTTTAATTTAAAATAATCCGTATCATTATTTTAACACAACTATCTGCTCTATAACACTCTATTTTTTCTATCTTTACATAAATAAATTATAATTTAGTAACATGAAATTATATTTAAATTTAATATTTTTTGTAATATAAGTTACTACAAAGTTGTATGATTTGATAGTTGTTAATATTATATATAATTATAAAAATTATTATAAGAAAAATAAAAATAATTTTTAAGATGAAAATAAATTATATTATTATTATTATTATAATATGTTTATTATTAGTATTGTTATTATGTTTTCATGGCCCAGACTGCGAGCGAACTTCACCATATTGCGAGCAGTCTCAATTACCTTCTCTTTGGACATTCTGAGCTTGTACTCCATGTGAATCGCGCTGGTGGAATTGAAGGTGTGAGCCCTGGGCCTCTTCGCGTGCTTAAGCGCATCCCAGGCTCTTCGAATGTCCTTCTCGTTGCAGCGCGAGAGACCGCAAATGACTGGAAGTTAACCGTCGTCACATTATTTTTTATTATATTTTAAAAAAAATATATCTCGGATATTCAGCGCACACTTACATAATCAATAATCTCAAGACTCTGTTTCTCCGAAATTTTGTTTGATTGATCTCAAACTATCATATTACATTTAAATCAAAGTTCTATTTAACATAACTATATCTTTGAATATAATAAAATAAGTATTTATAGAACAATATTACGAAACCATTTAGGATACCTTTCATGAAATATAAAACAATATTCAATAGCATAAAAAAATAATTTTATATATATATATTAACCATTAATATGAGTGAGATAACAGTTGAAATTCATGAACAACACAGAATATAAAATACATCATAAAGTAAACAACTAAATTAATCCTTAAATACCGATCTTCGTTTGGGTTTAATTCCATTCCAATCTTCCTAAACGTTGTTTTCATCAGAATCATGGTAACAACAAACGCAGTTGATAATTCAAATCATCCACTTCCGCATAAAAAGCGTCTCTCTCATCGACTAACTTAACCTTCTCTTGGATGAGCTCGGTATTCTGTGCGACAAGTTCTTCAATCACTTTTTTCATATTCTGACATTTTAGAGATAGATCGTCGTTATTTTTTCGAAGTTTACGACAAGCTTCAATTGCGCGCTTCTCGGTCACACGGGTCTCAGACAGTCGAGTAGCCTTATCCTCTTGTTTCTTCTCACAGTCGGCCTGAGCAATGGTCATCTCATGTAGCTTAGCGTTCAACTCCAAATTAACCTGTAACGCCTTGTCCATTTTTTCCTTCAACTGTTCGAACCTACCCTC